AGGCACGGGGCCTCGTCCGCGTGGCGACGGAGGCGACGTTGGCGAAGTTAGCCGAGGGGGCCCGTGCTACCTACCAGGCCGGATGGAGGAGCTGGCTGCTATGGAGGTAGCTGAAGGACAACAGTCCGCACCTGCAGGGGGAGACGCGGGAGGAGAGGCTGGCCGATGAGGACGATTTGATACGCTACGTGGTGTTCCTGTACGACGCACCATCCGTCAGAAGCTGTTTGCCATGCGTTGGCCGGGTTTGGGGGCGTCACCGCGGACCGTCGGCGTCTGTGGACCACGATGGGGGGCTTACGACGCTGGGGTGGCAAGGTGAGGCGGAAGCTGCCCGCAACCCCGCGGATGCTGACGTGGCTTAAAGAATACTTCTTCAGCCCTGGGGCCGAGCCTCGAGCCGAGGCTGTGGTCCTCTGGTGGGGGGCCCTGGTGACCGGATACTTATTCATGCTGAGAGCGTCGGAGTACTTGGTGCAGCCCGACAAGTCCTGGAGCCTGGACCGCGTCGCACATGGCATCGACATCCAGGGCCTACGGGACGGATCCCCGGAGGGGTGGCCGGGCAGCTGCGACAAGATCGCACCGACGATCACGTCCACCAAGACGGGCCAATGCGACGCGGGATGTCACCGCAACCACTTCCGCTCGGAGCGCCCGCTGTGCGTGCTGAGCGCGCTGGCTGAGCTGCACCGTGAGTACCCTCAACGGTTTGAGCGCGGCCTCGAACCGGGCCTCCCCTTTTTTCGGCACGCGAGTGGCCGTGCAGTGACGCGAGGCGAGGTGCAGGGGCCACTGCGGCTGGCCACGCCGGCGCGCGGGGCAGAAGGGGGCCAAACTGGGGTCGCGCCCCCTCCGCATGGGGGGAGCGACGGCCCTCTGCCGCGCCCGCCCGCGACTTGGAAGCGGTCGAGCGCTTCGGTCGCTGGACGACGGGCGCCCTCCACGGCTATCTGTGGGAGGACCAACGGAGACAACAGTCCTTCGCAGAAGGCATGGCTCAAGGCCGCGCTCTCCTGGCACCCGACGCGAGGGGCGTAGCCGACCTCGGCGAACGCAGCGTGGAGCGTGGGGAGGCGGAGCGTAGGGAGGACGACGACTTCCCGTGCCCGTCCGCCCGGTCGTCGTTGGCACCCGGTCGCCCGCCTTGGGCAAGGCCAGGCCGGCGTTGTGGCATGTGCATCGACGGCGAGTCGCACGTAGTAGCGTCGTTGTCGTGCCCGATCGAGTCGCAAAGTATTCCGTTGTCATCGTCAACTACGAGGGAGAGTGGGCAGCACGTGGTCGTCCTCAGTCGTGTCGGTCCCGCAGACACCCCGGAGTCGGACAACAAGTCGTGGAGTGTCGGGTCCAGGTGCGGAGGGATACAAGTGGTGCTATCGCCAACTCCGTCGCCCTCATCCTCTGCTTCCCCAGTGCACGCCGTGCCGCAGCCGTTTCGGGCTCGCGAGGACACGGGCGACCGGCCCGAGGCGAGCCCGGTCCAGTCGGGCGGAGCCGCGGCGATGGTCGCCATCGCGGCAGTGACGCCAGTGGCTCGGGCAGGAGGCAGCCTGGGCAGCCACGACAAGATGATCGCGCAGGTGGCCGCAGTGGGGGCACTGGTGGTGGCCGGGGAGACGCGCGAGCTGCCCCCCTACGCGCGCGTGCTGCTGCAGGAGCTGCTCGGGGAGAACATGGACATCAAGGACGACCTGGTGGAGCTGGGCGACCCGGATCGCGAGCTGGCGCCGCGCGCGGGGCGAGCCGCTCGCCCGTGTGGCAGCCGGCGGGCCCGAGGACTGTGGGGCCTGCTACCTCGTGGACGGGAACCACGCGATACGGGCGGCGTGGTTCGCGGGCAACGGCAAGGAGCAGAGGAGGTCGGCGAAGCTGGCGCTAGCCGTAGGGCTGTTCACGGGCGCGGATCTGGGCTCCCGCCGTCGCATGTTGAAGCGCAACCCCCGGCCTGTGGGAGCTGGAGGCCAGCTTCAACCCCGAGGTCGTGGACGACATCAGCCCAGACGGCCCCTTCGAGCGGGGCGCAGAGGAGGAGGAGGAGGAGGAGGAGGAGGAGGAGGAGGAGGAGGAGGAGGAGGAGGAGGAGGAGGAGAGGAGGAGGCGAGCAACCCAGTCGACGCGAAGTTGGCGCGGGCAGTGGCGCAGGCGGGTCCCCAGAACGCCCTGGGCCCTGGCGCCACTCCGCTCGCCGAGGACGGCGAGCCCAGCGCCGGCCCAGCAGAGGGCGGGCGAGGCCACAGGGGCCGGCCGCGGCGGAGGAGAGGGCGGGGGCCCCGGCCAGCAGGGCGCCCGAGGTGGCCCCGCCGCGCGAGGCCCGCGAGGCCAGCCGTCGGGCTCCGAGGCGCGCGCCGCGGGAGGCGCGCAGGTGGGGGCCAGGGGACAGGAGGAGCCGCGGCGGCGTGGAGGTTCCCCCCCCCGCCGGAGGCCCAGGCGCGAGAGCACCCAGGCGCGATCGCCCCGAGGAGGAGATGGCGGCCTGCCGCGCGGGCGCGACGGGCGAAGCCAGGCCGCTGTCCCGCGCCCGCAGCCGGCGTCGGAGGAGTGCCAGCGCGAGCTCGGGGGAGCCAGCGATCAGGCCGCCCCGGGTCCCGGGCAAGGTCAGGATGGGCAGCCTCGGGGAGTTGTTCACGTCCTGCGGGGCGGTGGTCCACGCGGCGTTCGTCTACGATGCGCGGTGGAAGAGGGAGCCCATGGTGCCGCGCGAGCTCGAGCTCCACGAGGACGCGCAGCGCGCGTTGGGAGCGCTGCGCACGGAGTGCCGCTTCTTCGAGAGTGACGATTAGCAGGTCGTGGCGCAGTGGGCTTAAGAATTCGGAACCGCCCGCGGCGGGTGCAAGCTCGGACGGCGAGGGGGAGACGGTGCCGGAGTACCCGGACTGCGAGTCGCGCGGGAAGCCGATGCGCTGGAGCACATACCGGTGCCTGGGGCGGGACTGGATCCGCACCCAGCATGGGGTCGCCCGACTGCAAAGGGCGCGAGGCGAACGCCGGGACGCTGCGGTGGTACTGCAAGAGCTGCGACCTCTCGCTGTGCAACTACTGCAAGCTCACGGCGGAGGAAGCGGCGGCGCGGGCCCAGCCGGGCGATTCCGGCCAGGATGGCGAGGAGGAGGACGAGGAGGAGAGCAAGGCCAGCGAGGAGGAGGAGGAGGCCGTGGACGACATCGGCCCAGACGGCCCCTTCGAGCGGGGCGCAGAGGAGGAGGAGGAGGAGGACGAGGAGGAGGACGAGGAGGAGAGCAAGAAGCCGCTGCGCGCGAAGCAGGAGGCCAGCGAGGACGGGCAGCCAACGGTGGCCCCAGACTGGCCCCCGGCATCTGGTCCCCGCGCGAGCGGGACGACCGCGTGGCGCGGTCCCCGCGGAGGCGCAGCCGCTCCATCCCCCGCCAGCGGCCGACCCCCAAGGGCTGCAAGAGGAAGCCCGACGGGTCGTTCTACACACCGCGCGGTGGCAAGCGCGTGCAGGCGAGCCGCAGGGCAGCTGCCAAGGGCAGCAAGGGGGGCGATGGCGAAGGCAAGCAGAGGAACGGCAAGGCGAGGGAGGGCAAGAGCTCCCGGCACCTGCGAGGGAGGAGCTCAGCAGACGGGCGGCGCTGAGCTGCCAACGTCCCCAGCGTGGCGAGGGGTTAGGCCACTAGGAGCGCTGGGGTAGTGTGGGGCCAGGTCCCCCTTCCCAGCCCAAGCTTGGCCAGGGTCCCGAAGCTTGGGCCGCGTGGAGCGCGGCATCGCAATTCGCTGAAGGGGGCATGCACTTGTCCACTTCGGGCATTTTGCTCTCTGCGCCTCTGGCGCCACTTCTGCGTGTGCAACGCAGCGCCCCACCCCCTCTCCCCCGTGCGCCCGGTCCCGCGTCTGTCAGGCGTCGGACACTGCCCCCCGCACCTCCTGGGGCGGTGACCCGGGCAACGGGCTGCCCCTGGACTCGCCTCCCTCAGGCGCCGGACGCGGCCCCAGCTTGGGGGCCGCGAGCCGGGAAATGGCTGGCACTGGACTCCCGGGGCCCCGAGGAGGAGCCCAACGACTCCTCCTGAGCGCCCGCGCCCTGGGCGCCCGCGTCCTGGGCGGCCACGCGGCCGCCAACCTGGGCCTCTTCCCTTTTCCGCGATTTGCTTCTTACTCGGTGCGCAGCGCCGCCTTCGCACACGGCAGCACGGCGGCTGCCGCGCGTCGGCGAGCTCGCCGAAGCGGCCCGGCGTTCGCCCCGGGAGGCTACACTTTTGCAGGCAAACGGCCACTTATTTTGGCTGCGCTTGCGGTTTTGCTTTGATGGTGGCCGATGGGCCAGCGAGCGTGCCGGAAAGGCGCGCAGCCTCGTGCTGCGCGCCGTGCCAGCTGCCTGGTCCACCAAGGGGCCGAACATCATATTAAGGATCCGCAGCGCTAATATGATGCGACCTTGGCGTGATGATGGTAATGATGACGATGATGATGATGATGATGATGATGATGGTGATGATGACGGTGGCGCTGATGATGCCACTGATGTCGGTGGTCATGATGGCGATGGTCATGATGTCGGTGGTCATGATGACGGTGGTCATGACGACGATGGTCATGATGTCGGCGGTCATGGTGTCGCTGATTGCGCTGATGATGTCGGTGGTCATGATGGCGACTACGATGGTGGTGATGACGACGACTAGTTTTTCCGCTTGCAAGTGTCGCGGCGCCAGCTGCCGCGACACCGCCTTGGCCTCAGAAGGCGCGCCAGAGGCGGCGTCACTGGCACGCCAGAGGCAGTGACTCGGCCACGCCAGAGTCAGTGTCTCGGGCAATCATCTCCCAGCGAAGGTCTTCCCAAGGGTTGCTCTTATTCTGCCCGCTTCCTGAGGGCGGTGAATTGTCGGGGCACGCCAGAGGCAGTGCATTCTGGCCGCTTCCAGAGGCCGCTTCCTGAGGGCGGTCAGTTGGCGGGCGCCCTTCGGCCGCTTCAGGCCGCTTCCTGAGGCCACTTCGTGTTGGGGCGCGCTCGCCACGGCGGGGCGCGCCAGAGGCAGTGCCTGCGCCCACTTCGCCCATGGCGGGGCGCGCCCATGGCGGGACGCGCTCCTCCTGCCGCGCCCTGTTCGCCCATGTGATGAGCATGCCTTTGTTGTCGGCCTTCTCGCGCCAGGCGAATTCGTCGGAGTGTCCGTCGAGGAAATCCTTCAGCCCCGCAGGCGCCACAAGCTTGTTGAACGTCTCGAACGCGCGCTCGTCGCGCCACCACAACTTGTTGCGGGAAATCCGCGACGGGTCGAACTCACCGCCGCCCTTGCCCGCGCGCAGGCAAGCGCGCCCCTATGCGGAAGCGCGGCCGACGGGCAGCCGCGAAAGCAGCGACGCGCTGCGCGCAAAAGTCAGCAAGCGCCAGAGGCAGCTCTTCAGAGGGTTCTGCAAGGAAAGAAGCGCCAGAGGCAGCTACTCAGCAGCACCGCGCCCTCACCTTCGCCGCCGGGGCAGGCCCCAGCGCCCTGTCTCCTGATAGCGCAGGCGCCGAGCATTCTTCTTGAGAGTACCCCCGCCGTCTGCGACTCGCTGTGCTCCTTCCTCGTCGCGAATATCGGTTGTCGGAGGTGCAGCGCGCACAGGAAGTGGCACGAGCAAAGGCGGCGCCCGTAGCTGAACATCTCCGCCAGCGTCACGAATTGTTCTGTCCTGATGTACCACGTCTCGCCAGAGGCAGAGTCGTCTTCGACACACTTCAGATGCGCGGTCTCGCCACCATCCACGTCCAGGATCCACTTCATCTCCGCCAGAGGCAGGAAGTCCGTATCCCTGCCAGCGTTCTTCCAGGCCAGGTAATCACGCGCCTTTTCGCTCGTGGCGCACTGGTGATGCCAGAACCTGACGCGGCAGAGATTGCCCACGAATTCAGAAGGCACGCCCCTCCACCCGCGCCCCCCCCCAGCGCCGCGCCTCGCCGCTGTGCTTCTCGAGGATGTGCTTTACGCAGGACTCGTCGTCGGGAATCCCTGCTTTGCGCTTCGATGCCTCGAAGGCGTCTGGCGTCAGCGCCGCCCACCCGTCGCCGAGCACGGCATTCGGGCATGCCTCGGCGAAGGGCGCGCCAGGGGCAGCGTCAGGGCCCCGCAGCTCCTGCCACAGCCGCCGCCTGTAGCGTTGCTTGTTGGGGGCCAGCGCGCGCGCGACGGGCCACAGCTGCCCTGCGTCATTTGGGCTGTCGTTTCGGTGGGGGGCGCCTTCGAGCAACTGCCTCCATGTAGGGATCGGGTCGCACCAAAAGCCGAGCTTTCTCTGCGTGCGGAAGGCGTTTCGGTCCTCGAGCTGCGGCATCTGCCAGTCTCGGACGCGAGCTTGGGCGTCGGTTTCCCTACGCTCCTTGTTGTCGACGAAGTGCTGCTGCCTGGCACACGTTCGGACGACGCTGCGAAGCTCGGCCTTGCGTTCGTCGGGCACTCGTCTGCGCTTCCTCTCAGAGAGACGAGTCGTCAGGAACACTTCCTCTGTTGCGCCAGAGACAGCATACTCGGGTGCGCCAGAGGCAGCATCCTCCCGCTCGTCCTCTGGTGAGCTAGAGGAAGCAACATCCTCCTCGGTCGGTCTCTGCAGCATTTTGCTCCGCCGCCCTTCGGAGGGCTCGAGTTGTCTCCCCCGTCGCATCGCGCGGTCTCCTCGCCTGCGTCGCCGTCGACGCCCTCGTCGAAAGACGTGCTGCCCAGCTCAGGAGCTGGAGGGGGCGGAAGCGCGCTCCCTGTTGCAGCGGGTGGATGCGCCGCGATCGCACTGGCCAAGGCAGGCGGAGGCGCCGCGATCGCACTGGCCAAGGTAGGCGGATGCCAAGGCAGCGGGCCCAAGGCCGTCGCTGCCGAAGGCGCCGGATAGCCGCCAGAGGCAGGCAGGAGCGGCGCGGCGGCAGGGGCAGGCGCGAGAGTCAGGGGAAGCTGCCCTGGCGGCGTCGGCCAAGGCACGTCTCGGGGAGGATGGCGCGGCGGCGGCGGCCGCAATTGAGGCCACGTCGTCGCCGAATCTGCTGGCCAGCTGGCGGCCGGCGGCGGCGGCGGCGAGCTGGCCCTCACCCATGCATGCGTAACCAAAACAACGGGTGGCTTCTCTCCACGCGCGCCAGGGGCAGCGGCGCTGTTCTTCTTTGAAGTCGTGGCAGGCGGCGGCGCCGCCTTCTCATGCAGCGGAAGAAGCGGCGCCTTCTTCGCGTTAACCTTTGGCGCCGCCTGCGGCGGCCACGCCAGCGGCGCAGGCCACGGCGCGACTGGTCTTGGTGGTGTAGCGGCGCGGCCGCTGCCGCTCACGCTGGCTGGCGCAGGAGCAGGCGGCGGGGGTGGCGCAGGAGCTGGCGCAGGAGCTGGCGCAGGAGCTGGCGCAGGAGCAGCGACCGCAGCAGCAGGAGCGGCGGACGCGCCAGAGGCAGCGGACGCGCCAGAGGCAGCGGAGACGCCAGAGAGAGCGTTATACTCCGCGGCGTACATTTCGGGCACGCGGTGGGCGGCTTCGACCGAGTCGAAAAAGACTGACCGCGCCACGTCCTCTTGCTCCCTCGAGAGCTTCTTTCTAGGAGCAGGTCTCCACCACAAACCGAGTAGCCCAGAAGTGTGTTCAGACACAGCCTCATCGCGCAGGTCCTCGTCCGCCGCGGGGGGCGAGGGCGGCGCCCACAGGTTCAGATGGGCGGGCGCCGAGCCGAGCCGAAAGCCGCGGCTCAGCGCATTAGCAACCCGACGTGCCACAATGTCAGGGTCCTCCCCGTGCGACAGCTGGTTGTGGAGCTCCAGCAGCGTCTGGCAATCAAGACAAATCTCGGCTGCGGCCAAGGAGCTCTGTAGCTGCCTCTTTCTCGGAAAATTGCGCGCGCCCGTCAGGCGGAAGGCGCCCGCGTCCAGGAAGAGAACGCGCTCCCCTTCGGAATCCCAGGCCAAGTTATCCAGCTTCAGGTCGGACATATAGACGCCACGCCCAGCAGCCTGGGCGAAGCTCCGCACCGCCAGGAGGAAAACGCGCCGCTTGCCCTGGCTGTCGTCGCGCAGCAACCGCACGCGCCGATCCAACGGCATGGCGCTGTTGACCATGAGGAAGTGCAGGTGCCTGACGCCGCCGCTGGGCCCGTGGAGCGCAGCGGCGCCGCAGTGGAGGACGGCCGGCGCCAGCTCCCGCAGGGCCCCCGACATCTCGGCCTCGCGTTCATTCGCCTGCACCTGCTTTGCGCGCTCGGCTAGCTTGACGACGCGCTGCTGGTCCGTTGTTGTATATAATGCGCGACATGCCGTGCGCGGCGTAGGTGAGGCTGAAACGCACGGTCGGCATCGCGTCGTCGGCGTCAGAGGCAGCGGACGCGCCGGAGGCAGCGGACGCGCCAGAGGCAGCGGAGACGCCAGAGAGAGCGGTGCCGCGGCGGAGCCACGCATCCATGGCGAAGGGCAAGTCAATGCGCCTGGAACACGTGCTGCGCGCTCGCGCCCACTCTCGGGAAGGCTGCAGCTGTTGTGCGCGGAGGTGGAGCACCAGCGCCATGGCGACAGTACTTAAACAGTTGCGCGGCAGGATTCCAAGGGGAGCCACGCCTTCTTGGAGCCAAAATGGGCGGCGGACAGACGGGCCTCCCCCAGTGGAAATGTAATATTTTTGCACGCTCTGCCCCAATCGAACCCTCCAAATCTCGACCGGCCCCCCTCAAGCGTTTACACCTGGTCGGGTCTAGTTTTTCCTTTGCTCCGGTCTAGTTTTTCCTTTGGTCGTGTCTAGTTTTTCTCTGGTCGGGTGGGTCTAGTTCCCCCCTGGTCGGGTCTAGTTTTTCCTTTGGTCGGGTGTAGTTTTTCTCTGGTCGGGTCTAGTTTTTCCCTGGTCGGGTCTAGTTTTTCCTTGGTCGGATCTAGTTTTCCCTGTGGTCAGGTTTAGTTTTTCCCTGGTCGGGTTTAGTTTTTCCCTGGTCGGGTCTAGTTTTCCCCTGGTCGGGTCTAGTTTTTCCTCTGGTCGGGTCTAGTATTTCCTTGGTCGGGCCTAATTTTCCTCTGGTCGGGTCTAGCTTTCCCCTCGTCGGGTTTAGTCCTTCCTTTGGTCCAGTCTAATTTTTCACTGGTCGGGTCTAGTTTTCCCCTGGTCGGGTCCAGTTTTTCTCTGGTCGGGTCTAGTTTTTCCCTGGTCGGGTCTAGTTTTCCCCTCCTGGTCGAGTCTAATTGTTCCTGTGGTCGGGTCTAGTTTTCCCCTGGTCGGGTTTAGTTTTTCCTGTGGTCGGGTCTAGTTTTTCCTTGGTCGGGTCTAGTTTTCCCCTGGTCGGGTCTAGTTTTCCCCTGGTCGGGTCTAATTTCTCCTTTGCTCAGGTATACTTCTTCCCTGGTCGGGCCTGGTTTTCCTAATTTCCCCTGGTCGGGCTTAGTTTTTCCTGGTCCGGTCTAATTTTTTTCTGGTCGGGTCTAATGATTCCCTGGTCGGGTCTAATTTTCCCGTGGTCGGGTCTAGTTTTTCCCTTGGTAGGGTATAGTTTTTCTCTGGTCAGGTCTAGTTTTTCCCTGGTCGGGTCTAGTTTTCCCCTGGTCGGGTCGAGTTTTTCAATTGATCGGGTCTAATTTGTCCTTGGTCGGGTCTAATTGTTCGCTGGTCGGGTCTAGTTTCCCCCTGGTCGGGTCTAGTTTTTCCTTTGGTCGGGTCTAGTTTTCCCCTGGTCGGGTCTAGTTTTCCCTGGTCGGGTCTAGTTTTCCCCTGGTCGGGTCTAGTTCTTCCTTTGGTCGGGTCGGGTTTTTCCCCCTGGTCGGGTCTAGTTTTCCCTGTGGTCGGGTCTAGTTTTTCCCTGGTCGGATCTAGTTTTCCACTGGTCGGGTCTAGTTTTTCCTTTGGTCGGGTCTAGTTTTTCCCTTGGTCGGGTCTAATTGTTCGCTGGTCGGGTCTAGTTGTTCCTTGGTCGGGTCTAATTCTCGCTGTGGTCAGGCTTAGTTTTTCCCTGTGGTCAGGTCTAGTGTTTCCCGAGTCGGGTCTAATTTTCCCCTGGTCGGGTTTAGTTTTCCCTGTGGTCGGGTCTAGTTTTCCGATGGTCGGGTCTAGTTTTTCCTTTGGTCGGATCTACTTTTTCCCTGGTCGGGTCTAGTTTTCCCCTGGTCGGGTCTAGTTTTTCCTTTGATCCGGTTTAGTTGTTCCTTTGGTCAGGTCTAGTTTTTCCTTTGGTCGGGTCTAGTTTTCCCGTAGTCGGGTCTAGTGTTTCCTGTGGTCGGGTCTAGTTTTTCCCTGGTCGGGTCTACTTTTTCTCTGGTAGGGTCTAGTTGTCCTCTGGTCGGGTCTGGTGATCCCTGTGGTCGGGTCTAGTTTTCCCCTGGTCGGGTCTAGTTTTTCCTGTGGTCGGGTCTAGTTTTCCCCTGGTCGGGTCTAGTTTTTCCTCTGGTCGGGTCTAGTTTTTCCCTGGTCGGGTCTAGTTTTCCCCTGGTCGGGTCTAATTTTCCCTTGGTCGGGTTTAATTTTGTCCTTTCGCTCGGTCCAGTTTTTCTCTGGTCGGCTTTAGTTTTTCCCTGGTCGGGTCTAGTTTTCCCCTGGTCGAGTCTAGTTGTTCCTTCGGTCGGGTCTAGTTTTCCCTGGTCGGGTCTAGTTTTTCCCTGGTCGGGTCTAGTTTCCCCTGGTCGGGTCTAGTTTTTCCTTTTATCCGGTCTAGTTTTTCTTTGCTCGGATCTAGTTTTTCCCTGGTCGGGTCTATTTATTCTGTGGTCGGGTCTAGTTGTCCCCTGGTCGGGTCTAGTTTTTCCCTGGTCGGGTCTAGTTGTCCCCTGGTCGGGTATAGTTTTTCCTTTGGTCGGGTCTTTGTTTTCCCTGGTCAGGTCTAATTTTCCTCTGGTCGGGTCTAGTTTCCCCTGGTCGGGTCGAGTTTTTCCTTTGATCCGGTCTAGTTTTCT